TTCACAAAACACGAAAATAAATTCAACAGAAGACACGATCCTATCTTCCCCTGCTTCTTCTGTGATTATTCTACATTTGTTTTGTGTCCATTTAAGTTATTCGAATTAGCCAATAGTGATGCCTCTGGATCTGTAATATCAGGCTTTCATTGCTTTCACGTCTGCGCATTTGAATGTATTATTCTCTTGCATCTTTTTTTTTTAAACGATTTCACGATAGCGTTTGATTTTAAATTATTATAATCACATTTTTCTCAGAAAAAGAGCAACTTGCTAGTGGGCAGTAGAAGGTAGACAGTTATTTACGAAATTGATCTAATTTTTGTTACGCTGAACAAGAATAATTTTGGTTCCAAGCAGATTTATTCCAGGATTAAAAAATGAGTGGGGAATCGAATTAATTAAACTTAACAGAACCGGTAAAAGCACAGTCTGCTTTTACCGGTTCTCACGGTCTCTTCGCTTGCAGAATTCTTATATTTTCTTCTACCCTGAAGATGGAGTCGATACGTTCCTCCGAAACGTCGGTTAACACCACTTATACACGGTGCCAAATCCCAGAAGACTGCTTTCTTCATAGTCACCGCCGTGAAAGCCTCAAATCTTACATAATTTTGAGAAATTTAAAGTCATTGAGAAAGTCTAAGAAGCGTGATTTAAACTTCATATAATGTACCTTTACGTTTATGATACGAACTAACGTTAAGCTTCTGTAGTATATAAGCAAGTACCAGATTTAGTCGAAAGCCATTCAGTAATTTCCGAGTGTATGGAGACAGAGAGTTAGACAGAGGGATGAGTGGATGCAGCCTTACACATACGAGCTCACTTCGTTCAGTTTCTTAAAAAAAAAAAAAAAAAACCTAATATCTGGAAGGACAGTTTATTCCTTAAATAACCTATACAAAGTAAACTGTTCTTAATAGTAACGAGAATTCCAAGTGTTAATAACCCTTAGCAGAAGACAAAATACACATCGAGTTTCAACAAGGAATGAACTATGTGGAAGCAAGGGAAGGTAACAGAGACATCTACAGGGCTTCCTGAAACTATCGCAATTAAGAGATGGCGTAGTCTTAAAATATTTCAGAGGTAATATTAAATTCTTATCCGAAAATTTAACTGTGTTTCCATATTTTGTGTACAGACGCTACGTACAGACAGACTCATTAAACAAGCAACTGTAACGTATATGAAGGCACGCGGTAGCGTAGTTGGTTGAGGCACTAAGCTATAAGTTGGAAGGTTACGGGTTCGATTCCAGACGAGGTCATTGGAATTTATCAATTTACCTAATAATTTCAGCCGCACTATGGTTCTGGGGTCGACTCAGCCTCTAAAAGAAATGAGTACCAGCAATCTTCCTTGGGGTAAAGGGCGGCCTGCGCGTAAGGCTGACAACCTCACCGCCATCTGTGAGTCTAGAAAATGTGGGAACCTCAACATCTCACAACCCTATGGGCCTCCACGGCCTGTTACAGGGATAGCTTTACCTTATCTTTACTGTTACATATGTTGTGTAAGCATAAGCATTTCTAAACCGCACCGCAACTGCTCCTTGTTATAAACCCTCGGCACGGACCGAACAGAAAACACCGCTTCCAAAATGTCTGTTGTTGCGGTCATTGCACAGCAACAACCTTTGATTACAGAGCAATTACCTAATAATGGCTGTTGTATAGTTTCTTATTTCGTGGTCGTTGCCTAGCAACGGGTCTACATGCCACAGTACCTAAAAGACTATTTGAACTATACTGAACAGGCTCAGAACAAGGTCCAGTGGACGGATTGTCTGCCCACTGTTGAATTTTTATTAAAGATGGGAATTCCTTGGTCAGTTGAATAACAACTGAAGATGGAATGCTCTGCAGTAATGGGGTTAGTTACTTAGATAGGCTAGGTAAGGTAATGTTGTTCTTGTGCCTGATTACTAACGAACTGCACCATGGAGATGTATCTAGAAGTGGAGGTATAGTTCAAACAATCTTAACCTCAATACCAAATGACGGTGTGTGGCCAGTTTCGCGCCACTGCCATCTTACCCCTGGGGAGAAGCCCCGGTATCCATTGAGCAGGGGGCTGATTCAGCATGAATACCTCTGTTAAAGAATAATATAAATTTATAAATTTAATGTCAATTCACAAACTGAAAGGAGAACAAAGACCACATATTTTAACATTTTACTGAAAGAAAGAAGGGTGTAGCGTTTCCAGAGAATTCCAGTGCCAATATACTCGTTTATTTTCAGTTTAACCCTAGTTTTGTACCCTTAAATGGCTTTGTAAGTGAACTATTTTATAATAATTCTGAAGATTCAAACTCAATTCTTTTTATTTTTCAAATGAAAAATTGTCGTAAGTTAATACTAATTAACATCATGGTAAGAGTCCTTCTTGAAAACACAATAATCACTCATCTTGATCAGAAATTTCTTACCTTTTATGGCAGCAGAAGGTTCATTACCGTGTTCATTAGACCCTTCCACTCTCCCCTATCGTTAGCCAGACCAAGTCCACACTCTTGACCTACCTTCCTTGTTAAAAAAGAAAAGGAAGCATATTTATCACCCTTCAAATAATTTTGAAACCTCAACTAACTTCAATTCATGAAATTCTGTGCTTTCGCACCCTCTCTTGGCTCTCTTGGCCATATGATGAAGACATGAGTGCCATCTGTCGGGTTATACTTGTACTATATATTCCATTCTATCGATACTTGATTGTACCAATCGAATGTGTGACGAATACGATTCAAGGCAACTCCTCCAATGACCGACATGCGTAGTTACAAAATTGTCTCTATAAATTCACCAGCAGACTTTTGCTTAGGCTTTTCAGCCAACATTAATGCAAGAAATTATCCTTTTTCTCTCTCTCTTGGAGTGAGTCCCTTGTACTGTGGCCACTGTTTGGCTTATTGTACCAGCTCCAGATGATAGATGAGGGTAATTGTGGGGCAATTCGTGGAATGGAGATTTTGCAGGGAAGACCGAAGTACTCGGAGAAAACCTGCCCCAGTGTCACTTTGTCCATCACAAATCCCACATGACTTGAGCTGGGCTCGAACTCGGGCGGCCGCGGTGTGAAGAAATGATCTTCAAAAAACACAGCACGAGCATGAGTTCAGTCTAGATGAATCACGGTATTAATAAAGACAGTTATTTTTTTCTCCGCAAGGAGTCTATTTCTGGTGCATGTAAAGCAATCTAAAGTCGAAACCCACGTCTGTGAATTAGCCTGACATTGATGTCCTCAGCAAAAGTGCATTACGTGAAAAGCTGTGTCTCAGCTAGCAGGAACTGCAATATTAACGCTTATTCAAATTTTGATTACCTTATACGATTTTAAAAATATTTCTACAAGTCTGTTCTCGTGAATAATAATCAAGCACTACGCCATGAAGGTGTCTGGGCAGTGAAGGTACAGATCCAGGTTTTCTTGACGTCAGCACTAGTTGGAGGTGAGTGGTCAGCTTCACGCCCCTGTCGCTCTAGGCCCAGGGAAAAAGCCCCCGATACCCTTTGGATAAGAGGCTGGGTGAGCCCCAGAGCCGGTCTGGGTGACATGCAGAAGTGAAAATGCTTGCCCCTATCGGGACTCGAACACCGACCCCTCGTTTGCCCATCCCGTAGCCCGTCGCTATACTGACTGAGCTATCTATGAAATCTAAAACCCCAAACATAAATGTTCGGTACATAAAAACATAATTTTGTATACTGTATGTGAAATTTGGCCTCATTGAAAAAATAAATTGAAGGGTTTTAGAACAAGAGGCTGAGGAGGTTACGTGAATTTAGGAGACAGGACAAGCGAATAATGGAGACCATTTCGTAATGTGGCGCACGATAATTTGTGCCCATCACTGAATAGGTTTAATAGCGCGTAAATGGAGAATAAGAATGAGATTGCGAAACACGTTCCTTGCCCACCGGAAACAAGTTTGCCAACTTTGCGGGGGAAACTAAAAGCGAAAGACTGCTTTGAAAATCTATGTGATGAGTGGCATGGAAGTCTCAAGCCCGTCGTCAACAATACAGCAACTGCCCCAGTTAGGGGATGTCATCATGGAGTGTAAATCGTAATCTTTAAGTATAGATCTTATTTATTGTACCAGGCTGGAATCACCCTGAATATTTCCGTCAATGTACGCACAGCTGTGGTGTTACTTGAGTGGGCGCTAAACCTCACTCACTTACTCATCACTCATGGAACTGAGGCCTTCTTGAGAAGCTGCCAGTTGTTCTGCTAAACTCAAGAACTTCCCAGCATTTTATGGAACCCGAAGGTTCATTACCGTGTTCGCAATATCCCTCCACTGGTCCCTATCCTGAGCCAGACCAATCCAATCCATGCCATCCCATCTTATTCCTCCAAGACCCATTTTAATATTGAACACCCACCTACGTCTTGGTCTTCCCAGTGGTCTCTTTACTTCTGGCTTTCCCACCAATATCCTATATGCATTCCTCTTCTCCCCCATTCATGCCCCATTTTCTTTCGCTTAGATCGTTTATCCAAGGAATCCGTCCACGTCCGAGTATTCTTGTGATCTTTCGTAACAAGCTTATTTGTTAAGGTAAGGAGTTCTTAGCCCAACGCCCAACCCCAAAGCTGGAGGACCACCCCTTGTCGGCTGGCCACGACTACTTATAAAATATATTTGCAGCTATCCTCCATACCTGGAGGGCCTCTCTTCCATCCGCAACCTGAGGACGCGCCGTACCTTCGTGACAAGGGACCCACGTAACATGGGGGCGCTAAACCCACAGGCTGGAAACCAAAATTAAATATAGGAATAATTGATCTTTTCCTATTAACTAAAGCTAATTAATTATATTAATCAAATGACAAAGTTATATAATCATTGATGCATATTAGAGGAAAACGAAATTAATCACTACTTCAATTCGTAAAGCACGCATTCATCGCATCGCATTGCGTAGGTGTATTCCGCGTTTGACGGACGCCGAGTTATCAGTCGATAAGTTGGTAACTCTGACTTGGCGTGGGGTCCCGGCTTCACTTTAGCCGGCAGGAGCTTGTTTGTTTTTGAATTGTATTAGTTCCTAGTAAAGTAGTGGTTTAAGGTTTCGCTTGTGGGTTTGATTGCTGTGCATATATTTGGTTCAGGACACATTTAATGTTTATTTGATGTAAAAATGGCCCAGATTCGATATACTCGGAATCTTTTCTTACGTGGAATGAGCATTATTTACCTGTTTGCTTTTACATCGTTATACGTTCAGATACCTGGTAAGTTTTAATTACTCTTTATGACATGTCCGTTCATAATATGCAGTATTTTGGTTTGGACCGGAAAAATATGTTTAATGTTTTCATCTAATAACAACAAGATTTGAAATAAAATTTTTGTCATGTTGGTATATGTTTTATTAAATAGTTTACATCGCTCTCTATCAGAGGTTCACTGTGGGAGGGCGAAATTGTTCATGATATGCTGGCCCTCCCTCATCTCCACAAATGCCCCAAAGCCCAAATTACCTATGGGGCAACTCCACATTTTCCAGTTGCATTGTTTCTCAGAAGTATAACATTCACAGTTGGTGAGGGATTGCTGTCTTGTGTAACGTAAATGGGATGACAAGTTTATTAACTAAATAAAAACTTAAAGCATAATTTCTAATATTTACCCACGCACTTTGTTTTTTAACAGTTTTAACTTACATGCTTTTGCATATTTCACAACAATGCAGAATAACTGGTAAAATCAAACTTTCTCATTATTTTGGATGACAGAATATTTTAATTGAATAATAGTTTCATCCATATAGATCATAATATGTTCCATTGTACGTTGTTGTAAAATATTTTAAATTTACACTTCTCCCCCATATTATCTCAGCAGATTAATTAGCTTAAATTACAGTGTGTTTTGTTTAGCAAGTACCTGTTTAAACTTTGGCCTGGGTACCACGTATCGAGTTTATATTTTCTTTTGTTCTCATTCACCATCCTTTTATATTTCACCTTTCATTATCATCCCCACATCTCACTGATGCTAAATAATCCTGTAGTTTGCATATAAGCAATGAACGAACCCTCAGACAGATCACGTTTTATAGCGCTACTAAACAAAAAAAAAATAATATAAAACTCACTGTGCCTATGTGTCACATATCCTTTGGATTGGAGGCAGTTAAAGTTGTCTCTGTGCCTAAGCACAGGGTATCCCTTTAATAGGAAGCTATTAATGCTACCTTTGTGCCTGTTTGTCCGTCATTAAACTTGTCTCTGTGCATATGCACTGCATATTCTTTGGGTGGAAGACTGTTCACATTGTCTTTTTTGCCTGAGCACCAGGTGTCACAGTTACAAGGCTAGTCTCTTTCTGTATAAGCCTTTGCACTGGCTGTCCCTTAGGTGGGAGACTATTAATGGTGTCACAGTGGCTAAGCAGTAGGTTTCCCTTGTATAGGAGGCTGGGTGGACCCTCAGAGCTGATCTGTTTAATGTCCTTATCCCAGTCAATGAATGTGTTGTCACTTAACTGAGTTATCATGACTAAACGAAGCACTGATTACAGTTTAATGTTTTACTTTCAGGGTTGTATGGCAATAATGGAGTGCTTCCTGCAAGAATACAGTTGGATAGCAAAGCAAAGACTCTGAGTGGCAGGATACACACGAAGCCTACGCTGTTATGGCTAGCCCCATACATTGGTCTTGACACGGAGTACATGATGGATGTGTTGGCATTGCTGGGCATCTTTCTTGCCTTCACAGGGTAAGAGTACGTGCACATCCATGTTAGTGTGGTAGTTATTTGGGGCCAGACTTAAATTGTAACAATTCAATATTATAAGATGGGGATCTATTGTATGTAGCATTGATAAGGTGATTAATTCAAAGACAAGATGCACGAGGCATTTAGTCCCGAAGAGGAGATTAAGAAATGCGTACAAAATTTTTGTCAGAAAACCTTAAAGAAGGTTACTTCTTCGGAGGCATGAAGTAAAAGCTATCCCTGTAACAGGCCATGGAGGCCCATAGGATTGTGAGATGTTGAGGGTCCCACATATTCTAGACAGTCAGCTCACAGATAGCGGTAAGGTTGTCAGCCTTACGCGCCGGCTGCACTTTACCCCCCCAAGGAAGATTCCTGGTATTCATTTCAGTTAGAGGCTGAGTCAACCCCAGGAAGGAAAAATTCACTGACCTCATCGGGACTTGAACTTGAGACTTTCCAACTTGTAGCATAGTGCCTCAACCGACTACGCTACCGTGTGCCCCCAAAGGCATGAAGCAGATGATAGTATAATATTGGAATAGATCTTAAAGACATTATGATGTGAACTGATTCAGGATAGTCTCCTGGAGCCCTTCTGTGAGCACGATAAACTCTCAGGTTCCATAAGAGTGGGGAGTTTGTTCACTTCCCAAGGTCTGCCCTGTAGTATGGCATTTGTTATGTAGCTCTATATGAGGTTTATCAAATACTGGAGTTGGTTGGTTGGTTGGTTGGTTCAGTGCATATGTTACTGTAGACTTGTTTGCAGGTTTGTCTCGCAGAAATTCTGTACAGCTCCATCATTTGCAGGCCTGTGGTCACTGTACTACTCTCTATATCAAGTGGGGGAGACGTTTATGAAGTTCCAGTGGTAAGTTCTGCTCTATATGATGTTTCTCTATAACAAAGGAAATCTTGGGTCTCCAGCACCATTCAAAAAGAGAAAACTCCGTGGCCTGTAGTCCACAAGCAAATTATACCAACTGAGCGACCGCTGCTTGTCGGCGAAGTTAGTGCCAACTTTTGTGATAGAGGGTGTCATGTGGTCAGCGCAACGGATCCCCACAGCTGTTAATCTCAGTTTTCTAGCCAGTTATTCTCACGAGGCTGAGTGGGCCCCATTCCAGACCCACTACTTTGCAGAAAATTTGGTAGCGCCGGGAATCGAACCCAGGACCTGTGGATCTGTAGCCAGGAACTCTGATCACAAGACCACAGAGGTAGTCTCCAGTAAGGTTCAGAATAAAATATTTAAATCACATCTTGTTTATGGGAAACCTATATATTTGAATAATTAAACAGAAAATATTTGTTTTACTACAACACACTCTTAAGCCACAAGTTGTTTAATTCTTCCTTTGTATTATCCATGTACAATCCATGCACATGCACTGGGACTCAACAAAGGTGTTAGTTGACACACAAAATGATGTGTCTTTAATACACGTGCACGGTCTTGCTGGCCTGCTTTGAGCTGGAGGACAACAATTTTTCTTGGCTAAAACATGACATGATGAACTGTGAACACACTTTGTTCCACCAAAAATTATCGTTCTTGTCCACTTTTATTAACATCTATCTCCCTGAAAGTAAGCCTATATGTGAAAATGACTTCATTTACCTTTACATGTTTTTCTTATTATAACAAAGCTAAAGAAATGGTGGAAGAATGCCACATTTCACATTTATGGTAATTTCAGAAGTTTTGTCCAAATGTTAAAATATGAGAGACTTTACTGTAGATAGGGAAACACGGTAACTGAAAATCCTATCTCTTTACTTTTCCCTTTCTTTATTTCACATTTATGGTAATTTCAGAAGTTTTGTCCAAATGTTAAAATATGAGAGACTTTACTGTAGATAGGGAAACACGGTAACTGAAAATCCTATCTCTTTACTTTTCCCTTTCTTTAAGGGATATATTGCTGTTGGAGGCAGGTTTCTTATCCATCCTTGTGGCACCACTGAGGTACCAGTCGCAGTCGAAACGCCGAGCAGTCACTGCAGCACTTAGTGATGGTATTCCGTTTTGGCTTGTTCGCTGGCTGCTGTTCCGGCTCATGTTCCAGTCAGGAGTTGTAAAGCTCACAAGTGGATGCCCCACCTGGTGGGGGCTTACAGGTTGGAATTGCTCTTTGCCATTTTGTACTCTTGAATACTAAGAATGCCAGATCAGACGTGAAGCTGCAACTGAAATAATGTGTTCCATGTTCTTGTATCCAATTTATTATGTGAGTAGTCTGTATTAAAAATAGAGGTAATTTATGGCCTTCTCTAAAAATAGGAGATTGTATGTCACATGCATGTGGAACAGTTAGCATAATTAAAGTTCTCTATATCTTGAGAATTTTGAAGTGTGGATGGGATAAGTTTTTCAAGCAAGTAATAACAAATATTTTCAAAAGCTCTTTTTTGTCTCTTATCATTCTTCATAGTCAGGAATTTATGTGGCTTGACCATATCAGGTCAGGTACTTTCATAGTACCTGACATATGGGAAGTTTTTTGGATGGATTTTAATGCAATTCCACTCTCATGAGTAAGAAATTACCAAATATTTTCATCATTCATACTACACGCTTGCTTCACAGTCAGACAGATGTTCCTCATCTTGTCTGGATTTCTGTATGTATTACTATACTTCCAAGAACTAGCGTAGTTGTATGAGACACTATACTATAAGCCAGAAGGTCGCAGGTTTGAATCACGATGAGGGAATTGGGTTTTTCAATTGACCGAATCCTTCAAGCCGCAATATGGCCCTGGGGTCGACTCAGAAATGAGTACCTGGAATCTTCCTGGGGGGTAAAGGGCAGCCGGCATGTAAGGCTGACAATCTAACTGCCATCTGTCAGCTGATTGTCTAGAAAATGTGGGAGCCTCGACATCTCTCAACCCTATAGGCTTCCATGGCCTGTTACAGCGATAGCTTTACCTTTATATTGTCACGTACCATCTCAAGCATAGGGGATAGTTGAGAGAATACAATTTTTACTGCTTGTTGGTACAGTCCATAGGAGAGGAAACCTGACAGCAGTGTAAATATTTGCATTGTGATCCTGAAATGGTTAACTTTCTCATGAATGTCATTTCTGTTTGGTGGAATTGTACAGATATATTTTCAGTCATTTATTGTACATTGTGTCTGTTGCTGATATTTTTGTGTGTTGTTGATGTGCACATGCACACAGACACACATAAATAAACATCCCCGTTTCTTTGCTGGTTTGTTAGAGAATTTCTGTAGTATTCTTCAGTTCCTGAATATCATCCTGTTTATCTTCGTCTACTAATGCCTTAAGAATGGCTTTAAACTTAGAAGAATTCTGTCTTCTGGAATGTTACAGCATGTAGGCTGGTAAATGTTCATGAATTTTTCAGAGGATCCCTGAAAATGGAGGCAGTACATGCCTTTGAATGTTGGTAAACATCTACCAGACTACATGGTCTAACATCACAGATAATAGTAATTTTCTTGTCACTGTCACGAGAGCCTGGACTCTCAAAACTTTTAGTGATGTTTACTAAATAAAAATAGTAAAATAAAACAATGATTTCTTCCTGCTTAGGGAACATTATTTAATCTCCATAGAAACAGCTGCATTGTTTTGACTCTGTACTTTGTCTCATTTCTCTCATAGCTACAGCAATTCATTTTGAGTCTCAGTGTATCCCAACGTCACTGGCCTGGTATGTCCATCACTTACCAAGATGGCTTCTCAAGCTTGCAACAGTTTTCACTTTTGTCATTGAGATTGAATTGCCTCATCTGTTCTTTTTCCCTGTCCGTTCAGTTCGGATTATTACGTTCTTCCTTCAGGTATGTAGCACTGTCACATTATATATTTGCATATTGTAATTCAGCATGGTTGTCCTCCAGCAGTTTGCTACATTTGTGGGTGTAATTCATGCCACATCATAGGAAAATAACAGTATAATGAATGTTTGTTTTTGCTGTCATAATGTATGCTGTCAGTCTGTTTAAGGCAAACTGTTCCTGTACTTAAGCATCATACTAAGAGGCTTAGAAGGTTATGAGGTAAACTTCCACTCATTTTAGACCTTGGAGCCTTGGGAAGATAAGTGACCAAATTCATGTTCTAGTGGCTTTACTCTGGTTAACTCTTTGACTGGCGCGGGCGTGTTTTAACGCCCGGACGATGCCAGCCGTTCCCTGGCGTTGGCGTGTTTTAACGCTTTGACAGTCTCTTCCCTTCTTTGCTCTCTTGGCACTCATCAACCAAAGACATATATATGATAGTTTTTGTGCATGTTTGTAAAGAACCCTTGTAAACTT